GGGTTCAGGGTTTAGGGTTTAGCGGACTCTAATGAAGTTACTATCGTAAAGAAACTCCAGTATGTACCTTATAACCCCATTATGAGAACTGAGTTTAAGCTCCTTAGCAGCAACCCAGTATCTCACGGCACGATTGCCCAGTTCCGCTCTTTCTGGTGCGGGAACCTGATACCGCCAGGCCAGGGCAACAGACAGGCAAGCCCAAGACAACGCCATGGTAATCGCATATATGTACGTCCCCCCCACAGCAAAGGCCAACTCCGAATTCGCCAGCAGATAGCAATCTCTTGCATCTTCCCGATGGTGCACATCCAGAGGGATAGTATGAATAAGAGGAAAAGGAAGCACGATGCATATGGCCACGGTGAACATAAAGGGAAGCGCCGCCACCTCAACCCCAAAACATCCTTCGACTCCAAACCGCAAACCCTAAACCCTGAACTAATGCCTGCACCCCAAACCCCAAAACCAACAACCCCCAAAACTCCAAAACCCTAAACCCCTGCAACCCTAAAGCCCCAAGACCCTAACCCTACCGCCCCTAAGACCCCTAAAAGGAAGCGAAGCCACAGCCAGAGTGGGGCAGCGCCGCATCTCCCACAAACCACAAGCCCACGAGATGCCAAAGACCACAAAACTCGAGAGGACGGCGACGAGGAGCCTCTTGCGGGCCCCTAGAGTTTAGGGTTTAGGGTTTAGGGTTAAACCCTAAACCCTAAACCGTCAAGGATCTCCTTAAGGGAATCTGCAAGGGTACTATGATGGTGTTCGTTTAAGGACATGGTCCTTTCAAGGATGCTGGAAGGGTTCCTTGCAAGACTCCTTTAAAGAGATCTATCGGGCACTATGAGTGCTTCCTTTAACGGATACCATAAGGGTACCATGAGCGTTCCTTTCAAGGATGCTATCTGTGTTGGTTTGAGGGTTCCTTTTCTGAAAGGGATCTTATAGGGTAGCACATGGGTTCCTTTGAAGTATACTACAAGGGCACAATAGAGGTTCCTTTAAAGAATACTATAAGGGTACCCTAAGTGCTCCTGCAAAGGATACCATAAGGGTACTATGTGGATTCGTTTAATAATTTAGAGAAAACTGCAAGAGTGCTACAGGGTTTTCGGTGTAGGGTTTGGGTTTAGGATTTAAGGGCTCTGCCTAGGGGCTTTGGGGTTTTCAGTTTAGGTTTTAAGGAATACCGTTTGGGGTTTGGGGTTTTGGAATATTAGTATGTATGACTATACGTGCCAACCCCTATATTGCTTGCGCATGTTTCCTATGGGGAGCTTTGGATTAAAATTGTGATTCCACTTTGCTACCGAGGAGCATAAAAAGGATGCTCTCAACTCGGACGTCAGTTCGCCTCGCGTGGCAATCCTCGAGATGATAGTGCTCTCCACCCATACACGCAAGGGCCGTGGACAACATCACCGGCAGCAGCCGCAGCACTTTCATGGCCGCAAACGTCCCCATGGCCTCTCTTGCGGGACTGATCCCAGACTTGGGCCACGATACTTCGTGCGCTTAAACAGAATACCCAAATCCAAAACCCTAAGTCTCCAATATCCCTTAATTAAGGAATATACTTTAAACCATAGCAGGGATCCTGTTATAATTTAAGGTATATTCCTTACTGAAGGGGTAGTGGAGTCTCCGGGAACTAGAGACTGCGACAGCATAAAGATTATGGCAGAAAACACTGATGGCGTACAAGGCAAAGATTTAAGTATAAGGGATGCTGATACTTGGAGGCCCCCGGGACTTAGTAAGTGGGTTATAAGTAGAGTTATAAGTACCCTAAATGGAGTTACCCCAATTATAACCCTACTTGTAACCGACTTACTAAGTCCCCTGGGCCTCCAAGTAGCAACCTGGACCTGCAGTAATGATGACCATCGCGCTCGACTCGAAAATATCGCTATCAGGATCAACACCGTGCCAACGAAAAATGCTGCTCACTAACATGCTACGACGAAACTAACAGAAAAGACAATCATGACGACAACAACAACGACAACCACGGCGGCAGCAGTAGCACCACCAGCGACGATGATTATGATGATGATGATGATGGTGATAGTGATGATGATGATGATGGTGATGATGATGATGATAGTGATAATGATGATGATGATGACGATGATGATGATGATAGTGATAATGATGGTGATGATGACGATGATGATGATGATGGTGAAGGTGAAGGTGATGGTGATGATGTTGATGAGGATGATGATGATGATGATGAAGGTGATGGTGATGAGGATGATGATGATGATGATGGTGAAGGTGATGGTGATGATGATGATGATGATAGTGACGACGATGGTGACGGCAATGGTGACGATGATGATGATGATGATTCATGATGCATGTAGATAACGGCTATGACCAACATCTCCATCTTCATTTGTCATCATCCTCACATCTTGATTACAGCATCACCATCATCACCTTCACAACCTGGGTCACCGTCTTCTTCTTCATTTTCAGCATGAAAAAATCAGTGTTTAGATACTGCTTGCCGATTGATTGCCTACAGCCGAGAGCTTTTCGGGCGTGCAGCCTAGGTTATATGCTAGTAGAATCCACCTGTACTTCCTGCATTGGTATAATACACCCAGGAAACCCTATCCAGTACTGAGGCCTGTACTAAACTGAACCATACCTTCTCCCCGGACCTGAAACCCTGGCTCCGTGCAGTGCGAATTTTCTCTGGCCATTATGCGGAGCTTCATAATATGAAAAGGCTTTATCACCAGCATCCCCTTAATGACAACCAAACTATCAACTCACCAGTATTCCGGCAGACGTATATACACTTTTCAGTTAACCTCCTGATCTATACCTTACTGTGGATAGCTCCAGCACCTGCACCCCAAACCCTAAACCCTTGCACCCAAAAACAAAACCCCGAAAGACACCCATCAATATGGGTAGTTCTCTAAATTCTGGTCCCTTTTTGGGTCCCCAATAGAGTACGGCACCCTTCTAAAAAGGAACCCAAAAGGGACCCTAATTTAGAAAACTACCCAATATCCTGCAGCTAAACCCTAAACCCTAAACCCTAAACCCTCAAAGACGCGTTAAAAGAGCTCTCCCAGGGTGCCGACGTGAGGTCGCAGGAAGCTCCCGTGACGTCTCGCAGGCGCAAGAGGGGCTCCTGTTGGACGCTAGGTTTAGGGGCTTCGGGGTTTAGGGGTTTAGGGGTTTAGGGCTCAGGGCTTTAGGGTTTAGGGTTTAGGGTTTTAGGGTTTAGGGTTTCGGGCTCAGGGGCTTCGGGCTTAGGGTTCAGGGTTTCAGATTGCAAAGTTCAAAGACTTTTGCAGATAAAAATAGGATTTTCTGAGGTTTGAATGCTAGTATCGGCGGCAGTCTAGGGTCTAGGCTTTACAGGCACCAGGGTTTTGGTTTTCGGTATCTCACAAGTTACAAGGGGGTTTCGGCTTCGGTACTTGGAGGGTCGGAGGACGTAGTAAGTGGTTATTTTGAGAACTTATAAGTATCATAACCCCAATTAGGGTCCCTTTTAGGGTACCTATAACTCCACTTAAATATCTACTTACTAAGTCCCCCGACCTTCCAAGTAAGCAGGAGCTGGGCTGACTTCTCCAAAAGGGGCCCTAATTTCGAGAACTACCCAGATAGGGTTTAGGGTTTCGGGTTTAGGGCTATAGCTGACTTCTGAACCCCTCCCAAAAGTTAGACTTTTAGCCTACCTTTTTTTTATAGTTCATGTGTGAACCCAAAAAGTTAGAGTCCTAAGAGCCAACCAGAAGAACGCCAAGGGAAGCAAGAAGCGTGCAGTTGTGCTGGCACTGCTGCTATAATGTAGGGACCTTAATCGTAGTAGTTAGAGTAGGGTTTTGGGGGTAACGGTTCCTTATTATGATTAAAGTATATAATATACCCCTAAACCCTTAACCCCCTAACCCTAAACCCAAAATCCTAAACCTATTCTAAATATTAAGGCCCCTATATTAGCAGCTCTGCCGTCGCCCCCCCCGTCCGGACCAGAGGCCTTGCCGCTTTTGAGACGGCTGCCTTTTGGGTGGTTCTCTAAATTAGGGTGCCTTTTAGGCTTAGGGCTTTAGGGTTTTAGGGTTTTAGGGTTTAGGCTTCAGGGATTTGGGTAGTTCTTTAAATTAGGGTCCCTTTTGGGGTCCCCTGCACCCTAAACCCTAAACCCTACCCTAAACCCTAAACCCCTACACCCTAAATGTCAGTACAGGGGACTGGGTGGCGGAAGTCCACAGCCCTAGACCGCAAAACCTGCAAACCCTAGAACCCACCCCAAAGAAAAACACCACAGATAGTCAAAACATGTCAAAACAAACACCCGAGATGTGAACTCTGCTGCGCAATCCCTCAGCTCGATTGCTTTATTCTACGAGTTGAGGCCCTAGAAACCCTAAGCCCTAAACCCCTAAATCCTAAAAGCCCTAGACCCTAAAGACCCTAAACCCTAAACCCTAAAGACCCTAAACGGCCAGACCCTAAACCCCACAACCCACAACCCTAAAAACCCTAAACCCTAAACCCTAAAGACCCTAAAAACCCTAAAGACCCTAAAGACCCTAAAAACCCTAAAACCCCTAAACCGTGAAGACCCTAGACCCTAAACCCTAAAGACCCTAAAGACCCTAAACCCTAAAGACCCTAAAGACCCTAAAGACCCTAAAGACCCTAAACCCCAAAGCCCTGCAAACCCTAAACCCTGAACCCCTAAAGACCCTAAAGACCCTAAAGACCCCAGACCCTAAACCCTAAACCCTAACAACCCTATAACCCTAAAAACCCTAAACCCTAAAGACCCTAAAGACCCTAAACTTAAAACCCTAAAAGCCCTAAAGACCCTAAAGACCCTAAGACCCTAAACCCTAAAGACCGTAAACACCCTGAAAACCCTAAAAGCCTAAAGACCCTTAAAACCCTAAAAGCCTAAAGACCCCAGAGACCCTGAACCCTAAAGACCCTAAAGACCCTCAACCAAGTCCTCTGGAGCTGGCAATGGCAACGCATCCGTGGCGTCGTGGGCCTGGCGGGTTTAGGGCTTTGGGGTTTCAGTGCTTTGGGTTTAGGGTTTAGGGTTCAGTGGTTTGGGCTTTGGGGCTTTGGGGCTTGGGGCTTGGGGGTTTAGGGGAGGGTTTCTGAGGGTGTTTAGTGGTTCAGTGATTTGGGCTTTAGGGCTGTGGGGCTTTGGGGTTTAGAGTTCAGTGGTTTGGGCTTTGGGGCTTAGGGCTTTGGGTTTAGGGTTCAGTGGTTCAGTGGTTCGGGCTTTGGGTTTATGGGCTTTAGGGCTTTGGGGCTTGGGGCTTTGGGCTTTGGGCTTTGGGGTTTCTGAGGGTTTCAGTGGTTCGGGCTTTGGGTTTAGGTTTCAGTGGTTCGGGCTAGGACCAGGATTAGGGGTTTAGGGGTTTAGGGGTTGAGGGATTTGGGGGCTTAGGGCTTTGGGTTTAGAAATTTGGTGGTTCGGGCTAGGACCAGGATTAGGGGTTGAGGGATTGGGGGGCTTAGGGCTTTGGGTTTAGGGTTTAGGGTTTAGGGGTTCGGGCTTTGGGGCTTAGGGCTTTGGGGCTTTGGGTTTAGGGTTTAGTGGTTCAGTGGTTTGGGTTTTCGGGTTGAGGGCTTTTGGGTTTAGTGGTTTGGGCTTTGGGGTTTAGGGCTTAGGGTTCTGATAGCGGCGGACTTTGTATGGTGTGTATGAAGGGTTTCATACCTTTGTGTGTGGCAATGGAAAGCCGATTTTTAGGGTTAGGGGTTTGGGATTCAGGGTGTACGACGCAATGACTAAGCTCAACACCAATCTGAGAGCGAGAGCGTGTGGCCCTCAACCCCCAAATCCTGCCCCTGAACCCAAGGTCACCCTAAGCCCTAAACCCTGAAGCCCTCAACTTCTTTTCTTGAACAACCAGGCACAACAATTTCAAACTTGTTGGGACAGACCTAAGATATACTTAGGGGCTGAGTACCCTGGCCAAAAAGGTTAAAGGTTACCTACTCAGCCGCTAAGATATAAGGCCAAAAAGTGTAAAGTTCTCCCATTGGCTATCTAAGAAACCCAGAGTAGAATGGTGGAACTGGTCCTCCAAAATGTACGGCTCGCCATGTCATGATGATGGAATGGATCACCATCGCCACTGCCACCAATTTTGCTGCCAGGAGCCACTCCAATCTTCGTCGCCGTGCCAGGTGTCCCAATGGATATCCTGCTCCTTCTGGGCAGGCTGCTTAGCTTCTTTGCTGCGACTGGCCCTGAAGCAGCGCTTGCACATATGGATCGTATCGGCACTTTCGAAATATGCATCATAAGGTACTTCAGAGCTGTACCCGCACAAAGCGGAGCAGTGACTCTAGAAAGGTAGGTATAGGTAGGTTCTTCCCCCCCAAATAACCTACCTTTTTTTAAGGACTTACATAAAGAAATCAGAAGAAGGAACTCGAAAAAGCTAGGT